ACCCGGGTACACTCCTCCGTACCCGGGTATTTTTTGAAATTTTGTGCCTACCCGGGTAGAGAGGGGTGTACCCTAGGGTTGGCAAAACGGGCCAACCCGGCTCGACCCGGCCCAGCCCGCATTCAGCCCGAAAAAATGGGTCGGGTCGGGTTGGCTCGAAAAAAAAAACGAGCCAGAAAATCTAACCCGGCTCGACCCGAGCCGGGTTAGGGTTGGCTCGCGGGTTGGCTCGATAATCAGCTCGCGGGTTGGCTCGTAAAAAAGCTCACGGGTTGGCTCAAAAAAAGCTCGCGAGTTAGCTCGAAATGATGCTAGTGGGTTGGCTCGCGGGTTGGTTAGCTCAAAATATTGGCTAGCGGGTTGGCTCAAAAAATTTAATTTTTGTGGTTTGTTTTCCTGTATAAAATTATTGTATTGTGCAGTCCAACTACAAGTAGAGTAGTTTACAAAATCCAAAAACATTAAATGAAACACAAACCACTCCACGAATCACAAGAGTCATTTATCATGATTTTTTGAATTACTCTAACTCACGATAACCATAAAACGTATGTAAAGCCAAAAAATAAAAAATAAAAGAAGTCCATCAGTGGAGAATCCATCAGTAAAGTCCATTGTATTAAAAAAAAAAAAAAGAGTAACCCGCGAGCTGGCTCGTTCAACCCGCGAGCTGGCTCGTTTGAGCTCGGGTTGGCTCGGGTCGGGTTAAATCGAGCTGGCAGCTCATTTTTGCCAACCCAACCCGGCTCGTTTTGTGCGGGTTACGAGCCAACCCGACGGGTTGGCTCATTTTTGCCATCCCTAGTGTACCCGGGTATAGTTCTTGGCATTTGAGAAATTGCTTGAATTATTTACCCGGGTAAAGAAGAGTGTACCCGGGTAAGTCTCAATAATATATAACTTGGAAATGCACAGCAATTGCTCTAATACACGTCTCCTTATCTTCGATATCTGATTTCCTCCCCAATAAATAAACAAGTGGTTTTCAAATTTGTCTGTGAAGTGTACAAAATTTATGTATTATAAATTATTCAACTTTGAATATACGTAGAAGGAAATTTTTAACTTTGACTAAATTTACATGTTTCCTGTACACACTGCATATACATATGATAACTTCGACTATGAAAATCATCAGATAATAGACGGAAACTTAGGGAGCTAAAGAGGAAAAGGTAAAAGCAAAATGTAAAGAAAAAGAACCTAAAAATTCCTATGGGTAATCATATGGAGTTTGCTGAAAATGCAATGACACATCAGAATACCGTGTTTCTGTGCTATCGGTTGATGTTAGGATTGTCAAAGTTGTTTTGCAATAGAGAGAGGGGTCTCTGAGAAGACTTGATATAATTAAACTTTTCTCTTTCCTTCTGCCTGGAATTTGTAGTCAATAAATGAGCTTAACGATCAACAAATACCTTCAATGATAACTTATTTCATGCAACAATGCAGTATGTATGTACCAAAGAATGCCATCAAATATATTTGCACACAACGGAAGATCTTTAATTTCTTTAAAATAAATTATTACAATATGGAGCAATGCTGGAAGCGACATGTTACTGATTTGTTTTATGCAAGCTTTAAACAATCCCATTTTTAAAATCATTAGCGAGTTTTTCTCCCTCCTTTTGATTATTTTCCTCAAGACTAAATACCACATAAACATGGAACAATGATCTTGAAAAATCACAAAGCTCATTATACAAGAGTTAGCATAAGATTCTCCACAATAAACAGTATTCTACTCAGTTTGAGAGTTCTTACCACGTACAGTGTTAAACAAGTTTTTCTACTGTCTCTTATTGATACCTACCCGGGTACACCGCTATATACCCGGGTAAATAATTTAAGCAATTTTCCAGATGCCAAGAACTATACCCGGGTACACTCCTCCCTACCCGGGTAGGCACAAAATTTCAAAAAACACCCGAGTAGGGAGGAGTGTATCCGGGTAGGCTTGGTGGTCAACGGTCAAACAGAGGCAGATTAGTATTATGTTTTTTAGGGGGGTTAAATTTTCGAAATAGTCTATAATGAAGGGTAATTTGGTAATTAATTATTAATAAAGGGTTATAAGGGTCAAAAAACCTGAGTTTCTCAAGTTTATTAAATGCTACCACTCATGACAAACCAAGGAATTTCCCAACTCACAAATACTCGTGAAATCAATTTGATATGGAAGATAATACTCTAATTTATTGCCATTATTTTATTTTTCTTATAGTATATGGTGAGATATGTGAATTAAGTGAAAGAATGTTAATTTTTTTTTTGGTCGGACCAAATAAAAAAACTTGGCTATAAATAATTACCAAAAATGAAGTCAAAAAGTAATTCACACCCGAAGTAGCTACTCATTTATTCTCATTTGGATGGGCTTTAGAAAAAAGACTTTTTATAAGTTATTTTTTTAAAAAAATTTAAAAAAAATCAAAATTATTTTATGTTTGGATGTAATATTTAAAAAGTGCTTTTAAGTAAAAATATTATTTGAATATTAAAATAAAAAAATACTTTTGAAATATAAAATTACTATTGTACATTCTCCTCTTCCTTGTCATCAAATTCAGACACAGAAATTCTCACTATCTTGTAATCATTGATTATTGGACTGAAACAAAATCTAATATGGTAAAAATTCTTTATATCAAGCCCGTTTGGTACGCGAGATTCTTGAGAATTTTCGGGAAACTGATTTTTTTTTAAATTTTAAATTTTAAGATATTATCATAAACTGAATGTAAAAATCATATTTTTGAAAATTGAGATTTTCGGATAAAAAAAAAATTCTCCTCTACCAAACACTCCTAGAGTTCTAGTTATTTGTCTCACTTGTCTGGTTGCTGGGTTCAAGGGAAAGCGTCGTATGATCAGTGTGTCTAACGCAGAACAAGCCAGAGTGCAGGAACCAACAATTTTAGCAGTAGGGTTTTACTGGCAGCGGCGGACTCATAAAAGATTATTTCTGTCCGTATATTTAATGGCGAGGTTTGGAGGTCAATTTTGTTTTTAAAGCAAAATTTAAATGCACTGAAAAATAAAAAATATAAACAAAAAATCTTCAACTTAACATAAAAAAATTATTCCCCACACCCTTTTTTATTAATCAAACTGATTTGTTGTATAGCATCATAAAATATCTAATAAAATATATGACATATCATTCCATCTCACCATATTCCATTCCTTTGCATTCCATTTCTCATTACATATCCAAACAAAACCTAACGGGTTTATATATGCATTTACGGACAATGGCTCCCAAGCAGGTCTGCCATTGTTCACGGGAATAAAGGGTTTTGAAGAGTTTCCCCCAATCTTTGGCCACACATTTAATCTAATCAAGTATTTAACAGGAACCCTTTCAGAATGTTGATCATTACATCCAATGGCCAAAACTCCTCCCTGCTATTTCCATTCCCAACCACTTCAAAGGAGCAATTCTATGATCCAACCGATCGATGAATATATTAAAAAGAAAAACATCATTTATGTGATGATTGTACAATATATTAAAGGTCATGTGAAAATAAATTATGAACCATATAAAAGGTCATTCATAATATTTTACAATACTCCCTTTTGAATGTATTCTACAACTCAACATACCATTAATGCGATGATTATAGAATACATCAAAAGTCATGAAAAACAAAGAGTCACATGTTACGAACCATATGAAAGGTCATCCATAATTCATGTGAAATGTCATCCATAATATTTTACAGCACTCCCTATTGGATATATTTTACAATTCAACGTATTATTAATGTGATTACTATAGAATACATCAAAGGTCATGAAAAATAAAGAGTCACATGTTATGAACCAGATGAAAAATCAACCAAAATATTTTACAACAAAATTAAATTTTTCAGCAGTGATATATTTCAACAAAGATTTTCATCTGCGTCAATAAAAATGAAATTTTCTATTGACATCTAAGAATGTTATATATCCAATTTTGTATTGAAACATATTATATACAATGACCTTAGTAATTTTGTGGACAATAATAAATAAAAAGATTTTTTTTTGTGACGGTAGTAGTTAAAGAAAATCAATGGTTCTAATTTCAAATATATAATATACTACGAGCAGTTATTCAATACTGGTATTAAGATTATTTTTTTATCATTATTTTTAGTTTTCCACTACAGTTGTCGTATTCTGTTATGACTTCTGATGAGAAAATCTTTATTCGATGACATAATTTAATAATGAATTTAATAAAAGTAGTAACTAAATTTTCACTTATATTAAAATTTTGTTTGAATTTTTACTTGTATATTAGTGTAAAAATATTATTTTATTAAAAAACATATTATAATATAAATATGTTAAGAAAATATAAAATATTTATTTGTTAAGATAGTTTTTAATATATTGAATACGATAAAAAAAAAATGAAATTATAATTTTAGATGGTTTGCGGGCTAACTCTAATCTTTAGGACTTTTGATCTGTGCGAATATTTATTATTGAGATTCATTTGATCCTAAAAGAATGAAGTGAACTATTTTGACAACTTTAATCTTGAATAGAGGTGAAATAAGAGATTGCTCTATGTTTTATGTTCGCTATATTCCCTTTTCATATTAAGTTCTCCTGCACTATCCAAGTAATTGAGGGAAAGAGTTTAGAAATATCCTAAAACTAAGTTTGAACAGGAAGTGTATCAATTTTATTTTATTTTATTTTTCACAATAGACTAATTGCTTCTTTTATTATTAGGAATGATTAGATAACCAACGTATACAATTATACACTTCCATAAAAATGTCGAAATAATAAGCACTTGATATATCATATAATTCATATTAATTGATATAATTATCTCATATAAAAAGGATCATAATCGTATAACGGGGAATAAGTTATTATTATTTTGTAATTTTCTATTCGTATATTTTTAGTGTCTCTTCTTTTCTTTCATCAGATTCGTATTTGTATGGTTACGAACTTAACGATAACAGCTAAGAGCACACTACTCGCTTGATACATATAGTATAGAAAGTAGAAACATAGTTGAAAACTGGTTCAAATGAAATCAAGTGTGTGAGAGAAATGGTAATGATAAGTCGACCTCAGATTTTCCTGCACTCTTGTTGTCCATCGCTGAAACCGAAACCCTCATCACCTCTTCTTTTCTTCCCAAATTCATTATTATTCGCGAAACAGAGACACACTCGTGCTTTTTGCTCAACCAATTCCAAGCCTCACGAATCCATTTCCATTGTCAGTGACTTGCTCGAGTATCTCAACGAGTCTTGGACCCACTTCCATGCCACAGGTATTGCTATTTGTGAATTCAGTATTTTCTGGAATTTTCCCATTCAATTTGCGTTTCATATCTCAAAACCGTGTGCAGCGGAAGCAAAACGACAATTGATTGCTGCGGGTTTTGATGTGCTTAACGAGAACCAAGAATGGGACTTAAAGCCCGGTGGACGCTACTTCTTCACCCGTAACATGTCTTGTTTAGTTGCTTTTTCCGTTGGAGAAAAGTGAGCACCAGCAGTATAAATTTATAATCTCTTTTCTGTGTTTTTATTTGATGTAAACAAAAACAAACAAAAATTATTTATTTTTTTGTTTGTTTGTTTCTGGAAGGTACAACGTTGGTAATGGTTTTCATGTGATAGCGGCGCACACGGACAGCCCGTGTCTGAAATTGAAGCCGAAATGGTCATGTTCAAAGTCTGCTTATTCAATGGTGAATGTGCAGACTTATGGAGCTGGTTTATGGCATACTTGGTTTGATAGGGATTTGAGTGTTGCTGGAAGAGTCATTCTCAGAAGTAACACCACTAATTCTTATTTACATAAGCTGGTCAAAGTCAACAGACCCCTTTTGCGCATACCTACACTTGCAATTCATCTTGACCGGTATAACATAATATAACTTCACTTCATCACTTTATATGATTGTCATTTCAATATATGTAGGTGATAAGGAAACCAACCATATTTGTAGGTCATATTCATTAACCAAACCTTATGATTCAGTGATGTCATTTGACTCCTCTCTGAACATATATTTTCAGTTACGAAAAGCAACTAGCAAATATTTGTGCCATTGAGGATTATATTGTACAACATTACTTGCTTGTAAAGTTATTAATTTTAATGCAATAAGTTGGTATTTCTCATTTCAAATTCAATCATGTACTAGTAGTCTGGTACAGTATTGCAGATAATGACTATCATGAATATTTATGCACATTCCGAAGCTAGCATTGTTGTCCAATTTCATTGTGCTTTATAAACTTCAAGCTCTTCAAACTTTGTAGTTAGGCTGTTGTGTTGTAACTATCAAAAAATTGTTACTGGTACTTGAGGAATTGATCTGGTTTTCCTATTTGGCCCCTGTATTGTTTTTTCCATTATTTTTTTGCCATATGGCAATGTTCTGCCACAGAAAAATGCAAGCTAGCAGATTTTATTCCTCTCTTATTTGTTTCATTGTTTAGCACAGTGAACCAGGATGGTTTTAAACCAAATCTAGAGAATCATCTTCTTCCTTTATTCTCAATGAAAACTGATGACATTGCTTTGGATTCAAAAGAGAAGACTAATGCTTTGTCGTTCAAAGCTTCTCGTCATCCGCTGCTTATGCAGGTAGCTATTGTTTTTTCTTCTTACAAGTTGAATGTGCAGTATTCTCAAAGGGTTTGAACTAACTGCCATGTTCATGGATTCGAACCAGCTGCACTTCATTTGAATATTATTTATTGTAACTCTCATAGGAAAGTAAACCATGCATATCCACAAAAAGATATTGATTTCAAACATTTATTCAAAAAATATATATATATTGATTCCATACAGTCCCACAGATGAAACACACCACAACTATTGTTCTCTTGTTTGTTTCCAATTCTTTCTTGTACAGTCTAGAGACAGTGAGTCGAAGAAAGAAAATTAAAATGAGATTCATACTGTTTGCCAAAACATAAATTCAAATGAATTTATAGCCTACGAGATACCTTGAGATGTAAACTAGAGAAACATCATCCAAGGCCTGACATGGCAATGTTACCGAACTCCCTCTAAAAAATTACTGCCTTGTATAATCGGTTTTAGGGGGGAAAAAATCATTTGATACGGACTCTTCAGGTCTTGATCAGTTAAATATCAGTATGCTACTTTAGGCTAGACTTCTGATTTCATAGCACACTCTTGAGTTGATGCTAACAATAATACAAGAAACATTGATACCTTTCAATTTACAATTCTTGTACTTTTACTTTCTCTGTCTCAGAAAATTTTATGCAACTTAAATTTTGTAATTTTTTTATTCTGTAGTTCATTACAAAGCAATATGCCAATCAATTGGTTGCATTAGATGTTTGGTATGTAAATGCATGGCAATATGTGGGAAGATGGGGAATAAAGATTTTTAGTCAGAGATAGGGATGATTGCCTTGAGGCGAAGATAAGGACTGTTGACCAAGATTTTTATTTGCTTTCATATCTTAGATAAAAGCACATTTGAAAAGGAACTAAATGATTCAAACAGAGTAGCAGACAAATAAGCAAAAGAGGAGGCATCAAGGAACATTATGTGGAAATGATATGGGTAAAATACAATACTGCTATGCTGAGAATGGAATTGTGTAATAGTTTGGTAGTCATGATTTTAAATAATCTGTGATTTTAACGGTAACTTGTCATCTATTGCTTATTATTCTTTACATTAACCCTTGTCTTTAATTCTCAGGTATTGTCTGATGAGTTGAATTGTGATGTTGATGACATAGTGAGTATTGAACTAAATGTTTGTGATACTCAACCTAGCTGCCTTGGAGGTGGAAACAACGAATTTATATTTTCTGGAAGATTAGATAATCTCGCTTCAAGTTATTGTGCATTAAGGGCGCTGATTGACTCATGTAAATCTCCTGACGACTTAGCAAGCGAACACACAATTCGGATGGTTGCTTTATTTGACAATGAGGAGGTATTTTTTCTTCTTGCTTAATTTGTATGTTTTATGTTTTATAGATGCTAGATTTTATTCCATTTTTTCTCACTAACAATTAATTTTGTCCATATTATATTAGAAATTGTTCCAAACTGAAACGACACACCTGGGATTCACCAAAAGCACCAAATGATTATCCCCAAATGGAAGAGCCTGTAGGACAATATAGGGTATCATTCCTAGCTATCACTATGTCATTGTTACAGACCAACCAGAAAATAAATCTAACACAATGGATTATGGAAATGGAACACAGATCTGTATATAGATGTATCTTATTTATATTACAATATGAAAATGGTAACAACTCAGAGATAGTTACACAGACAATTGTAACCTATAATCCTCACAGCACAAGGATCAATTACAGAGGAAAAGAAGGAAGTAAAATGCAGAAAATGAAAAGATAGTGTGAAGCACATATGAGAGGCTCCACTCTCTCCCAATCCCCAAAGGGCCCAAGCAATACCAAGATTCCAGATACCCCTTCAAAGTGATGATCCCCTCCTCTAAATTGATTAGCTCCCCAACGTGACTCAGTGTATCCAATGTGACTTCCAACAACTAACCTCCTCTGCTAACAACTTTGCCTGTCTCAGCATTATGCAATATTCCCCTGCTTCTCTTTCTTTCCTGCACCTTTCTAACCGTTTGCTGACTGGATCATATCAGTCATCAATATATACCACCATGTGGATGCAACCACCACTAGACTGCCCGTAGAAAATTCTCTTCAATTCAAAAGCACGGACTACCACACTCAACATATAAACCCCAAAAACTAGATCATAAGGTAGAAAAGCTCAAAGTCCATATAAATTCCACACCAGAACCTTATGTTTCCAATGTGGGACTCCAAGTCCCATATCTTACAATAGGATCGTAACAGATTGTTTCAAGTCATACAAAAATCTCTTGAGCCAAGAATCCTTCCTAGACTCTCCTTGAGCAGCACAGCCAAGTGGTCGCTCTCTGTACTTCCTTTTTCAAGTCATCATGAAAAATTGCATTTTTAACATCTGATGAAGGAGCCAATCAGGGGAAGAGCTAGATCATTTTACTTAGGGGGTCCAAAGAGAAAGAACATCATTATTGAGGGTGCAATGTTCAAGAATTTTTTTTTTCCAAAATAAAAATTGCATGTAAAATGAAAATGTTTCCAAAAATATTTTGGCGTGGGGGAGAGGTTGCCACTCTCAGGAGCAATGTATCTCTGCCCTTGGGGCCAATGTTGAGATGCGGCCAGAGAACTGATGCAAATAGGAAAGCCTTCTGTTAATTGTTCCATTCACTTGGGATTGAGATATCCTATAAATGACTACATGCTAGAACCCATTTTTTAATAATAAATATTGTTAAAACTAAACTCAGGATGAAGTGGAGCGGGTTTCTTTGATTGATTGCTTTTATTTAGAGAATTACTCACTACTGAGAACTTTAATATATATCTTATTATTTATTAACAAATTTTATGATGTAGTTTATCTTTGATCAAATGTGTGTATAACCATTCGATAACAATAAACCTGAAAGTGCTAAATAATCAAACCATTGCAGTAAAAGTTTTAACGTTCTTTTAAGCTGATGGAAATAGCTCGTATTGTTCACTGATAATATAAAACTCTTTACACTAATAGTAGATCAAACCTTTATGATATTAAGGAGCAATGCGCTTAAGTTCAATCAATATATTTTTTAATAGTTTTTCAATTTTTTTTATATAGAATAATCTTAAATTTAAACTGTTCTTGCACCCGTTGGACCCCTTCCCAAAGAAAAATATCCCAAAATGAGAAAATTCCTTCATTTGAAAAGCTGTGAGCCATGAATCACCAAAAAGTTTTTCCCTCTTTATGAGTTGTTACAATACATTTTTTTTATTGCAATATCATGCTATTTCACTGTTGATTTCTCAATGCTGCTATTTAGGTGGGTTCAGGTTCTGTTCAAGGAGCCGGTGCACCCATCATGTTTCAGGCCATGAGACGTATAGTTGGTAGCTTAGCAAATAAGTATGTTGGTGAAGACTGTTTTGAGCGCACTATTCGCCAATCATTTCTTGGTATATTATCCACTTATCACCCTTCTAAAGTAAACTTGAGACAAATGCATGAACATAAGGGTTGATATCACATGCTTGATTCTAATATTATAGGTGGGTTGCTTACTTCTGTTGTCAATCATGTGTTGACTTTAATGTATTGAATAGGTCGAATAGAATAGCTAACTACAGTGGCTCTTGAAAAGGCTTAAGGCTCAGAGATTATAGATTTTCATTGGGATTTTTCTGTGTTCATACTACAGAGTTTGTAAAATGATGTAAATAGGACTGTAGTGGGTGTGGGGTTTAAAACAGTGGCTGAAATTGATAAAAGGTCTCCTTAGGTATTCCAGCGGACCAATTGTTGTTGGACTTATTTTTTTAAGGGTTATGACTAACGAAATATTCGTAGCATTTATTTATTTAGTCTGTTTCTGGGGCTCTCTCTTTTGTTTTCTAGATCTATTAGGATGTCAACTTGAATTTTTGGGTACAAACCAAAATTACGAGGGAAAGAGAAAGAGCTTGCTCACGAATTTGTTTCAGGATTTAATGAAAATGTGCAGATGATTTTGTCCTGTAATATGGAACATTTGTCATTTAATTAGATGTTAAATGTGGTAATAACATAATAGTTCTATTCAGGAAAAAAAAGAATATATTCAGTAGAAATAAGTAATTTTTTGTTTTCTGTATAAGCAATGGTAAATTTGATGTCCTTAATTTCTTGTTTAACACAATATTCTGAATTAAGTATCTTTTGGATTCTATCCCTAATAGTGTCTGCAGATATGGCTCATGGAGTTCATCCAAATTTTATGGATAAGCACGAAGAACACCATCGACCAGAGCTGCAGAAAGGACTTGTTATCAAGCACAATGCAAACCAGCGCTATGCTACCAGTGGAATCACATCTTTTCTTTTTAAAGAAGTTGGGAAAATACATAACCTTCCAACTCAGGTAATTCCTCTTCATGATTTTATTTGTTTTAACACGTTATACTTTCTAGTGTAAAATTATTATTATAAAGGTACGTAGAAGACTAAAGGATATTTTCATAATCATATTTTATACCAATTCATTCATGGCTGACTGTATAGTTCTACACTTTTTATATAATATTCTTTCTCATGAAGACTTCTTCAGAAGAGAACAGATGGAAATAAAAACAACAAATAAAAGACTTTAGCGGTCCCTTCCAAGGAATATATGTTTCTCTCTTCCCGTTTCATTTATATTTTGAACTTCATAATATATGAACAAATTTGTACGTTTGTATCAACTCCTGAACTTGTAACGAGCAGTTTGGGAGTGAGTTTCTACGTGCACTATTAGCTTTGCAAGAGATCACCGGATTATGATTTAGCTTATCAGTTTCCTGTAGTTGTTTTATACACAATATAATCATATTATTTATAACAGACCGTTGGAGGTTAATTATTCATGTTAGTATACATTTCTAGAGGTCTCTCTTCCTCTTCATGAAAACAATTTTTGAACCATTATAAGGAAGATAGTAGAACATGCATGAATTATCAAAAAATGAAAATTAATGTATAGATAAGAGTGTATCTCTTCATTTTTCTGCTTGTTGGATTTTATATCACATAGTGGAGGCATCCAAAAATTAAATTTTGCCTACTCACTTATACTGTAGGAATTTGTGGTTAGAAATGACATGGGATGCGGTTCAACCATAGGTCCAATACTTGCTTCTGGGGTTGGCATCCGAACTGTTGACTGTGGAATTGCTCAACTTTCAATGCACAGGTATCAAATGATTTTTGCATTAATGCTTTAAAAAAATTAACTTTGTCTATATTTAATCAAAGCCTATGCGAAACCATGTCATATTAGTTATACTCAGCTTTGATACTAAAAAGGTATAACCATGTCTGGCAGTCGGTTCAAATAACTCCATGATATTGCTTATGAAATGACCAAAGATGAAAGTCAATGAACCATATGGTTTGTTAGTATTTTGGAACTGAATAAAAAATCAATTTGTGGTATTTATCCCCCATGTTTGGCTGCCATTTTACTTGTTAGCCTGTACTTTCTCTTTTAGAATCAGATATTAGTTGTTGGTTTGTGGCCAATGTCTTTCTTTGCACTATTAAGCACGTTAGCTGCTGACCCGTCTTCTCTTCGTCTTATTGAATTTCTTCTTTTATAAAGAAAAGAAAAGAAATAATGAAAAAGAAGCAATTGTTCTTTACTTTATTGTTCTATTAACCTCTGACCCACTCCAAGGATATAATATGGGTTGTCTTAGTCTGTTCATACATGAATTGCAGTATAAGAGAAATATGTGGGAAGGAAGATATCGACATTGCTTACAAGCATTTTAAAGCTTTCTATCAAAGCTTTTCAAGCATAGACAAGATGCTGACTGTGGATATCTGAGCTGTGCTGTTGAGCCTGTTTGGTACCATAGTTGCGATTGCTGGGATGTGGTGATAGTGAAATCAGAAATTGGAGATGGGTTTTGAGATAACTTTGGATTCTCTGCTTCAATCCTAGAACAAAGCCTCATTCTCCCCCTTAAATTCAAGCGCATGAGCTTTCTTCCCTAGCTTTTAGTTTGATTATGCAAGGGTTTTGTTTTGCAAATTTGACTGAGATCAGCTTCTCTCTATTGGCTCAAAGGGTGCCCGTAAATACATTAAAAACATTAGAATTTTATAGCCATTGTTGCTTAGAAAACTGAGTGAATCAAAGCAAACGTGATTAGCCTTTAAATATTCGTATACTCTTACATCAATGTTTTAAAATCGGATCAACCGAGCCAATATAACTAATCAGACCGTAAACCAGCTGTATTTCTTAATTCAATAACTCTTCATTATGCTACTCAATTTGACCCGTTGCATCATTAATGTAACCGATGAACTAATTAAACCACGGGAATGAATCTTCTCATATTAAAATTTCACACCACCTATTTAATATACGTGAAAAGAGATATAGACACAAAAATTTCACATAATCATATGTGAAATTTTAACATTAGAAAATCCATTTCCTTAAACCATAGTCTGAAGCTCTTACTGATTTGTTTACCAAAAACAAATAAGCTCTTACTGATTTGATCTTCGAAACATGCTCTTTTTGTTGCTAAACAAAAATTTAGGGTAAAAGTATGTTTCTCCGAATTTAATGTCAAAGCAAGCTCTAGTCTCAGTTATCACCTACAAAAAGACTTACAAAGAATCCGATCTTGAATCCAAACTCAAGCCATGCGTTTAACTTTATATTTGGAGGAAAAGGAAACGAAACGTAACATCATTGTTACAATCTCGGTGCTTACAGAAACAAAGAACCCTTTCGAGGATTTAATACAAGGTTAGACTAGTCCAGTTGTGCAAGTTTTTCTCATCAATCAGACCATACACCAAAAAATGGCACCCGCTTTAGATATGCGTATAAACCGGGAAAAAATATATAACGCAATTTAGAACAAATGACATTACTTAGTATTAGTGTGTATAGATTATATGGCAGTCGCATTCTCTAAACTGTTGAGTAATCTATTACGATCAGTTACTTCTTATGTATAAAGTCTGATCATGTACTCTGGTTCGGTCAAATAATAGAAATATCTCGACATCTGAAGCTCAGTTTTCTCGCTCTTTCTTTGGCATTTTCTCAACCTCTGTTCTTCGTTTACATCGCCTACCCTTAAGCCAATATTTTCTCTCATCACACTGTCCAACTCTATTTGTGACGTCAAAAGATATAAAATAAAAAATAAAATAGTCACATCGTGTCTTAAACAAGCATCTAATAGACATCCGACGGAGACAACTCCTTTTCAAAATGTCTGGTTTTTATAGTTAAAAGCAAGCTATTAAAAAAATTAAAATTAAAATTAAAACACCATATTTTAGCAAAAACCTTTACTCATTCCGATTCATGAAATGGCTAATCCAACTTCTAAAAAATTTACCATCAAATCGAGCAGCATTAGATTTACAGAAAGACAGGAGGGGAAAATTAAATGTAAATAACTCATACGTCAAGGAGCACCCAATGGTTTACTTTAAACAGCTAATATATAAATAGTGAGAAAATCCAGGAAAAAAAGCTTCAGTTACATATACAATCACATATCCACAAAAGGTAATTTATTATACACGAAATTTAGTATAATTCATCAGACCATACAGTAAAGCATAACAAGATGTGACTAGAGCTTGGGAAATTCCAGTTGAATCTCGGCATCAAAAATTCCTGCAATCTGAACGCAAACTACGTGCCAATATCTCTTACTGCAACCCCTTAAGCTCTTTAGGGAGCTGTAGCCAAAACAAGAAAACAGAAAAAGCTCCATTCACATTACATATATATAGAAGCGAGCAATGTAAATATCGTTTACACTATAATTCACATGACAAGGGGTAAGATCGAACTAAACTTACAATAGAAATTGTAGTAATGTAATATTTGAATGAGTATCACTGATGATTCCACTTTTTTCATTTACCCAATTTTAAGAAATGAAGATGATAAACTTCTAAGTTCTAACATAAATTGGAAATAATTGCTCAGTCAAGCTACAAGAACAACTGTATTCCACAGTATAGGTGAAGCAAAGCATACCTTCATCCAAGTCAAGCACAAACTTATTCAGCTCGGGATAAGTCCACAATTCACTCTTTGTCATCACCAATAGCAATGTGTGCTCGAAAGGCTTCTAACAGAAAAGGCAATGTCCACAAGGGACACTGTCATGGAAGATGCAAGAAGCATCCTTGCAAGACCGAGAATGGAGGAATGGATCAATGTTGGTCTTTCTGAAATATACAAATCCATCCAGCCCAACTCAGCCTATATGCCTGCATCCCAATCAGCTAAAAGAAATTTGGAGCTGTATCAGCCCATCATCTCACATCATAAAGCTCTGGCTGATCAGGTGCAGGCATGGCCCATGCCCCTCACCGGGGCCGGGCCAATCCTAAACTTGCATCAGGTGGTGGTTGATGAGACTGCAGTATACATAAAAGAGTAAGTTTAGATCCAAAGGAAAATTAAAAGATTAAAGAATGTACGAAACTTCACAAGCACTCAATGCCCAATCTGAAACAAAAAATATACAAAACTATAAACTATTTTGTCATTAGATGCAAGTATTATACAACATCATACAACAAACAAGTATTATCTTAAAAAATATGGTATTAGGGCATAATCACCGCTGATTAGAATTAATAAATTGAACGTACAAAACAATGAGAAAAAACTCCATCACCAAAAGAAGAATGGATGCACATTACACCTCCAAGATTCCACACCCATTCATCACTTAAAAAAAAACTTAAAATCAAAATCAAAAGAAATGCTAAAAGAAACAATCTTCAAGTGGCGGGATAACAAACTTCAAATGAGTTGGCAGACTTGCAATGGTAACCGGCTCAGTTAGAGATACCCATCTATTAGAAAGGTGACCAATGTCAATCCAACAGCTATCAAATTCGTTTTCTTCTACAGGTGCAAAGTAAAAATTTACCATCACACTTTCCTTTTAAGAATTGTTAAAGCAACAATGAGTTCATGGGCAAAAACAAAACTGTCTACAAAATTACAAATAGGAATAACTTCATTCAAAGCCATGGAAACACATCTTAATAGATCTCATGAAAAGATATTGTGGTTGTCTCCCCTTTCTTGTATGCATCCCATGTAGTGTACACACATACATGTCGGATGCATGCAAGAAAAAGATAAAATATCAACATTAACATCAACAATACCTTTATCTCAAATTAATTGGGGTCGGTGGTAGATTGTAGATGAACCCGAATGAAAGGTGAAAATAAAAATAAAAATAAATAAACAAATAAATAATAATATATATAAATATAAAAATAAAAGGGGTGTTAAAAAAAAAGATGGGGAGAGGGAAAAGAGATAAAGGAAAAGAAGAAAAAGGGGGGGCGGGGGGGGCGATGAAGAGGAAAAGGACTAAAAAGAGACTATCTGGAACATAGGAATAACAACGGGTCTAACCCTCCACCATGCTAATAGCTTTTATCCCAGCTGGCATATTGATAAACTATAGGATAACAAATAAAATATAATCAGGCCAAAAATTGTGCTTCTCAAGTCTTTATCTTCTTTTCATGCTTATATCCAACTTCTGAATCAGGTTTTCAATATACAAAATCAAGAAAAATGTCAAAACATTTCAAATCCACCTCAAAGGTTGAATGATTAGAGATCAATATGCCACCTAGGAAGAAAATACACTTCCCTTCTATAGTTTTTTATTCAGGAAGTATTATAACTTAAGTTTTACAACAGTATTCGGGAGTTGATTCCTTTCAATTCATGTATGTAGTACAAAAATTACTAACCGATACAGAAAGTCACTGACATGAAAAGCTATGCACCTTGTTAAATTATAGTAGAGAGCTTGACAAATCACAAAAAATTATTGTAGAGATTCAGAGGGCTGTTATACCTGCACAAAGGGTTGATGAACATGTTCATGAGGGATGAAAGGCATTCCAGGGTGCTGACAAGAATACTGAGACGAATGCAAATACATAGTCGATGAGGAGTGTGCACCAACTTGACTAGGATTAAATGGGGACATCATAGTCTCTGGATGTCCATATCCCATTCCGGCAGGTGTTGATGGTGGAGCCCATGGAACAGGTATATGTTGTGGAAGAGGTCGCAGTTGGTGTTCAGCAGAAAGCTGGGGCTGGGGTCCATGAGTGGATCCAAGCTGTGGAAACTCAGTGTTGTAATTCAACACTGACGCATACATTGGCTGCATGGTGTATGATCCTCCACTGAACCCAAACCCGGGATCAAATCTTTGCATATACCTACATTGCAAGTTACAAGAAAATGATCAGATTAATCCATACTCCAACCATATTTTAACCTTTATATTCATTAGATTTACAATTCTTGATAGAACATAGTAGGATACAACGAATGTCAATAACTATAACCTAAATAAATCACAAGCACATCAAATGATAAAATCACAATATATTCTGATCCAGAGACCCAACATCAGATCAGTTATACATATCCCTATCACAAGTAAAGCATTAGAACCTTGATCATCTGTTATGCAGCATTAAATTCACTTTACTCCAAGAAGAATTAGGATTAAGGATATAATGGCCAACATTCAAAACACCGTGTTATTTATATTTTGTTTAATACCAAAAAAAATTAATAAGCCAACCATCATTTGATTGCCAACATCAACGTGTTTTGGGGCTTCTTTAGCACGTGTATTGGCAGAAAGAAAAAGTACAAAAACAAATGTCATAACTTTTAACACAAAATAAGACTAGGTACCATGGCATTTAAGCCAATATGCAGAAAAGTTAACTTACAGTTATTATATATAATAGCCATAAACATATTTTACTAGAATATAATCATTACTATTTTACAATTATGCAAAAAATATGATAGCATTGCCACTATCATATTTTAATATTTAAATAATAACATAATAAATCTAATATTTCAACCCTTTCATATCTTTTATTTGGATTCATCCACTACCGACCCAAATTAGTTTGGGATAAAGGTGTTGTTGATGTTGATGTTGATAATAAATCTAATATCCTTGGTTTGAAAAACAAGTTAATTTGAAATTATTCAGTTTCCCAAAGCCAATCACCTAGTATCAATAATTCATTCAAACCAGAAAATGCATATAAAATTAATGCTTCAACATGACAGAAGCATAAAAAATATCAGAATTCCTCCATTGAAGGAAAATGCAAGTAAGTGGAAGAAAATGGGAGAGAGACTTGAGAGAAAATAGTCATTCTATTATTGTATTTCTGAGAAAATGAATCGAATACAAAGGGAGAGAGAACAAGCTCTATATATAGAGCAAGAGGCTGACTCAGAGATGAGTCAGCAAAACTAATCTGTTTATGAGATACACAGCAGTAAAGAAGGCATAGTCCTAATAATGCATTGGAAGAGAGGAGTGAGATATGAGAGCTAGACCAGTCTGTGTCGATGCTTTCTTTCCACAACACCATTTTGGTGATGAGTGTGTGGACATGTAACTCGATGAATTATGCCAAGTTAAGGTATTGAGTGAATACCCTAAATTCACCACCCTAATCTGTTTGTAAAGCTTTTAGGGGTAGTTGGAATTGGTTTGTTATCATGGTATGAAATTGTTTAAAGATTGTTATAGCATTAGATTTATGTTTTATGGAATAAAGCCATGTGTATCGAGTACAAGCATCAACAAATGAGATATAATATGCATTACCAAGAGAGGACTTTAAAGGTGATGGTCCCCAGAGATCACTGTAAACAAGTGTGAAAGGTACTGTGTATTCAGTTTTGGATGATGGAGAATGTTGTCTGTGAGATTTTGCACAACAATAAGAGGAACAAAATTCTGCCATTTTATTATTGATGTGTATATTACAAGATTTAAGTACATTCTTAAGAGCTCAAGATGTGGGTGCTCCAAACGGCAGTGCCACAGTGAATACAAGGAATCAATAGAAATACATCCTGTATTATTGGTATCAATACTAGGACTAACTAGATTGACTGACTAGCTGGTGGAGGAAGGCAAAGAAGAGCTGGGACAGTTGCTATTTGTTACTGTGACAGAATCTTTGGTGAGCTTTAAGTTTGGGAAGTGGTACAAACCATCAGTTCCAACAGCACCTTGAAGTAGTATGATGGGAAGCCTGACATTTCACAAAGCAGACATCAGAATGGAATTAAAAAAATAACGAGTTATCTTTAGCAAACTGACTGACGCTGATCATATTTTAGGTAATGGAAGGTACTAAGAGTAAATTCTTAAGATGCAATAAAGAGTTAGAATGGAAAGGAGATATAATTGATGAGGAACCAGTGGCTGTTATGGGCAAACCTTGGCCATTTCCAATCAGAATGTGATCAAAACCACTGAGTTGTTGACCTTGCATTATGTTTTGAGATGTACCAGTGACATGGTTTGACACTCCAGAATCAGGAAGCCACCCTACCAGTGGAGCAGAGTGAGATACAGAAGAGAGAGCAGGTTGTGCTGTGACGAAGGCTTGTGGTTGGTTCTGAGATTTGTTGTACTGAAATGACCTTACAAGTTGTGGTTGTTGGTGAACAAAAAACTGAGATATGATGTATTCTGTGGTGGTGGCAAGCTTGGAGGGAAGTTCTCTTCAAACCTATGCCAACAATCTCTCAAGTCATGACCAAATTTGTAACACAATTGGCAGTGGACGTTTGATCTAGTTCCACGTCCTCTCCCTCGATTAAACTTCATTGTAGACCTCCCTCTTCCCTAGTATTGTCCACTTGAAGCGTGGAAATGACCTAGTGCAAGTTGCTCTGTTCGACTCTGTTTTCTGGTTTCGAAAACAGAGTCGTCTCCTTCATCAGATCCAGCCTTCTGTTGCATCTAAGCATGTTGCGTGAGGTTCAGAGAAGCTCCTTCAATTAGTAGTTGTTCATTCTGCTTGATCAGAAGTTGTTCATGAACCATAAGCTCTACTCCGAGATCTGCAATGGAGTAGGCTCTGTCGCGTCCGTGTATCATCATTACAAACGAACTGTAATCAGAAGGTAGTCCTTCAAGTATAGTTTCTGTATGTTCTTCAATTGAAATAGAATTTCCAATTGATTTGAGCGAATCGCAGATCGTTTTGATCCAAGTAAGGTATTCTTTTGTAGTCTTCGTACCTTTCTTCATCATCTTCAACTCAAATCTGAGTTGTCTCGATCTCGATTTCATCACACCATGGAATAACTTGTGTACATTCTCTCCCAAGCTTCGAAGGAGTGCTTCACAGGGAAAATATCGTTCACCACTTGTTCAGAGATGGTGGATAACAGCCAAGTCAAGAGCATCTGATCTTGTGTTAACCACTCAGTATACGCAGAACTAAAATCATTGTTTTCTTGATCTTCGTCTGTCTCGAACTTCCGAGGAATCTTTGGATTCACCAAAAATCGTTGCAGTTAGGGGTGTTCATCAACCGATCCAAACCGATTCAAACGCGGTGACCGAACCGAAAACCGAAAAAAAAGCGCAAATTTTAATTGGATCGGATCGGTTTTCAGATTGGTTGATAAAAACCAATCCATTCCAAACCGATCCAATATATTAATTCCCCTCTACCTACTTGGGCTTTTTCTCAATCATAGCCCAAAAATTTCTAAACTCAAGACCCATTAACCCATCAACTAAACCCAAGAAAAAATCTAGTCACATCTCATCAACAAAATTTCATCTCTGCAGAGCTTCATATCTCATTGCAAAAAAAAAAAAAAAAAACTATTATCGTTTACTGATACTTTTGCATTTCAAAAAAAAAAATTACAAAACCAATATATACAAAAGATGTTATCTGCACAATAATCATGAAACAAATTTTAGGATTTTCAAAAAATCGAAAACCGATCCAATCAAAACCGAAAAAAATTGGATTGGATCAGATTTGAAAAAAATCCAAACCGAATGGATGATTACATGATCAAACCAAAGGGATTGGATCGGATGATTTTTGCTTCCAAAACCGATCCAATCCAGACCGCAAACACCCCTAGTTGCAGTTGGTGTGATGTTATAATTGGTTCTATGATCTGGTTCCAGAAGAGATAATTATCTTCTGTTAACCTTGCAGAAAATTGAAAATTGAAGAGTGAAGATGGATTTTTAGGTTCCGTCGTAATTTTGGGGGTGGATTTGCTTTGTTGAGCTGCGCTGGCTTCTGTATTGGATGTGGAAGACATGGTTGACTACTGTGTATGGATCAGGCCCTTGGATAAGGCTTTGATACCATATTAGAATTCCTCCATTGAAGGAAAATGCAAGAAAGTGAAAGAAAATAGGAGAGAGACTTGAGAGAAAATAGTCATTCTGTTATTGTATTTCTGAGAACAAGCTCTATATATAGAGCAAGAGGCTGACGCAGAGATGAGTTCGCAAAGCTAACAAACTTAAAACTGAATCTAAACAAACTAACTAATTACAATGGGTACAAAAGGTAGCAATAATCAGCTGCTACAGATACAAGGAAAGTATCCTACTACAAGCAAGCTAAAGCTAACTACATCTAATAAAAAATATCCATAAAAAGTGCATGGGAGTTATGCTCAACTCATGTCCAAATTTTTTGAAAGTTGGAACCAGGAATTACAAGTAAAAATAGGACTTCAAAGTGTTTTTATTTATAAGCAAACAGAAATGTTGAACAAGAAAATCTTCACTGCACAATCCTAGCTGGTTAGCTCCCACCAGAAAATGAATTAACAGCAAATATGTAGATGTATCAAGTCCATACCCCACAAATAAAAAATTCATGAACGTGACACATGATCTCAGTAGGAAGAAACATATAAGAATATCCAAGCCATCTAGCTGCTCTAATGGTGACAGCATCAAACCATTCATGTCTGAGAGCTCAAATCCTTTATTTTGAGAAAGGAGAACAAGTAAATAAGGCCTAAAATTCTAACATACAAATGCGCCTAAATAAAATGGTAAAAGGCACACATACCTTTCATAACTCCTGTCATAATCCGGATCCCTGCGCTCAACTTCACGGTCTCGGAATATAGCTACCCTACTATTTTGCCTGTACCTACCAACTGGCTCCTTCTCTGTCCTACTTCTAGCCCTACCGTTATTTGTTGAAGACTCAACCAGCCCTCTACCAGAACTGACATCAGATACAGAAGCAGATTTATCTTCCACATTAAAAACCCCCAAGGAACCAAGTAAAGAGTTATCCTGCTTCCTTGACTCACATACCAGATTCCCACCCGCAGTACCAGCATTATTGCTCGAACTAAAGATCCTAGCACGAGCTCTATTATACTCATCTTTTCTCTCTTCCACACTTTTAGAGTTGCTATTCTTCACTGAGTTTGAACTTGCATTGCTAAGAATTTGTGTCTGCATTTGCGGCCTCTGTTTAATTGCAACCTTCATAACAGCATTGTCTTCTGATGATAATTTTACAGGGATGTCTGCAAGGCGAATAACTGGAAGCTTACAATCAGAAGTTTTACGGACAATAATTTTTGACCCAGAACCATCTGGTAAACTATTATCCAGTAAAACCATCGACTGCAATGAGTAATGTTGAGCCACCCGGTGTGCAGCCAACCGTAAATAGGAAGTTGGCAGCTGCTGAAATTCAAGCTGCTGTTGATTAGGATCTCGAATGAACTTCTCAATATCTTGCTCTATCCGCAAAACTGTAAATTAAATTAGAAACCTTAATCAGTTCTGCAAAATTCATCACTCTACAAATGTAAAGCTTCATTAGATCTGAAACAAATAACACATCGATAAGTGCATAACAAAGTCATTAGAACAGCAGCAAATAAATGAATGGACACAAAAGAACTGCAGAACATTTGAGCATCAAATTTTGGATAAACTAAGCTTTACAATCACATGATTCGATACAATTCTGTAAGCTAGAGATTCGTATCATGTAATGAATCGGCGTTGGCTTGGAATCATGCAATACATGCGTGAAAGGGTGTGATATAAATTGCATGATTTAACGATTCATTAAATTTTTTCCATCAATTATCAAAAGAAATTAAAAAGTCAAATACTTAACTTGTTAAATGAAAAATGAACTAAAGAAACACTACTGAAAGCACCCTATTTAATTAGTCCATTGCCCTATTTTCATTGTCCTGAAAGAGAGACTTCACATAACACCCACTTCCTCTATGCATCCTATTTGGTTGTTCCATTGCTCTGTTTTCATTTTTCCAAAACAGAGGCTTCACACAGCCACTCACTCACTCTATATGCCCTTTGTTTGTCCATATCATTGCTCTATTTTTTCTCTTCTGAAATATAGGCTTCATGAAATCACATTAGGTGACTAATTTATGACTTATAATTTTTTTTTGAGACTTATTATTTGTCAATTCCAAGTTCAAAAGTATTACATTACACTGAGCATTATACATTATTTATATGATATATTTCAAGCTAATTTTCATTGTTCCCCTGAATCTTATGATTTGATACGATTTACAAGTCACAATTCAAAAATTAGCTAGGCAATTCACGATTGAAATCGCGGTTTGAAACTCGAAGCACATTAAGACAAAATTTATAAATCATGAAGCCAACAAACTAAAGCCTCTGCAACAAATCAGTACATATAAAAATGCATGCTCTCACCAACAAACCAAACCAGTTAAAATTCAAAATCACAGTCAAAATAGTTATATACAACCCTAATCATGAGAATAATCAGGAATGGAAGGAGAGGGCAGACTAGAAACAAAAGCAACATGTTGTGAAAAATGAGCATTTCAATGGTAAACGGTGTGGTCCACATTTCAATGGAAAGCGTGGTCAGAAGGTGGCTTCATGAGTCTGTCGAATCAGTCAATGCTGCTAAACTGGAACACTAAGCTGACTGTAAAAACACAAATATCTAATATATTATTTATAGCTACCATTTTATCGAATAAAACTTCCTCTGACTTCTATATGACTTAACATATCCCATAGATATGTTAATTTCTATAAGACCATATGGAATGTCTAGCTCTGAATCTGATTAATGCATACATTCAGCACATATCCACATATACCCAAATATAATGGAAAACCTCACCGGAAAGGCGTTCGCGAGGGTTCTGAATAGCTTCGCGAAGGAACTGATCCACCTGATTGATGACGTCATCGGAGACGTTGTCGCCACTGGACGAAGAAGAAGGAGGTGGTGGCGGAGCATCATCAGCATGCTTGCGATGCTTAGAATCTTTGTTGGAGGAGAGCATCAGGTTCAAGCGCTTCATGGACTCGTCCAAATCGGCGACCTCCCATGACTCCGGGGCTCCCAGATCCTCCGCAGAGCCCTCCATGGAGAAATTGGAAGAGAAGAAAGAGAATGTCCTAGGGTTACAGAATCGACCGATTTATCAAAGGCCTCTTGGGTCTGAGCCTGAAACCCTATAACTTTGTATAGCGAATTTCATTAGAAAGTTGACCTAGGGTTAGGGTTCTTCGAAATTGCAATTTTGGGATTAGGGGCAATGATATGATGAGAATGTGACGGAGAAGATAGATAGGGTTTGATGACGATTGGGTTCGAGAAAATATCTGCCACGTGTCATGCATAATAATGATAAAGCTTGAGTATACTTTTAATCTACGTGGTATTTTGATATTAAAACTAACTTAATTTGAGTTTAATATATGCAGTGCTCATTATTTGGGAGTAATCAATTTTTGTCAATATCCTTGATCTTGATGTCACATTTTCTAAACTTCTTCTACATCGCATTAATTATTAAGTCACCTCTCCACCATGTACCCACGCTACCACTCCTCATATTCTCCCTCGTGGCAAAAGTCTAATGTCACGTTGTCATGTGAATCTATATACATTATTTAGGACACATGACGAATCTTATTTGGACATCTGTTAACCACATCATCACCTAATGAAACAAATCTCGAAGACTAGAACTAAATAAATGCACTTTTGAAACACAAATTTTACCTAACTCAAAACGGGATTGAACTACTAATTAATATAATTTATATGTTTCAGTCTTTGATTAAATTATTTGAACTAAGGTCACGGAATTTCTTTTACGTTTCATGTGAGAAGTGACATAAAATGACTGAATAATGTAATTGTCGAGTGATGCTGTTTCGTATTTGCAAGATAAGAAAGCACAAGAAAAAATTAAAATGCAGTCCTGCTCATATATTTTATTTTAGAGTAAATATTCTTTTTGGTCCTCAGTAAATTTCACCATACCCACTTTAGTCCCTAGCAAATAAAAAAGCTCATCGTGCTCCCTAAGAAATTCAAAATGGACCCATTTTAGTCCTTTTAGGGACTAATATGAGTCTTTTTTGAATTTGCGAGGGACCACGATTTTAATTAAACAAGTCCATTTTGAATTTCTTAGAAACCACGATGGGCCTTTTTATTTGCTAGGAACTAAAACGGACATCATAAAATTTGCTGAGAACCAAAAAAGATATTTAGTCTCTAATTTATTTTTCAAGATGCGTGTTGACAGTGTAGTTGCAAGGTGTGTGTGTCATATACAAACATCAAACAAATATCTGGCTAGACACATTCTTTTTCAAAACGTCAAATTCTTTAAAAAAAAAAAATATTGTTAACAAATTTAAATTTAAAAGCTATTGAAACTTGCCAAAAAAAAAAACTATCCTATTAAAATATAGATTTAATATTTATCCTTTTAAATGATATAGAATTATATTTTTTTGAGTGAACGAAAAAAGTACACAATAAAAATCATAAAAAGAGTATATGAGTAATTTTTATTTAATTTAAATTTTAAATAAAAAATATTAATTTTAACTAAAATAACCATCTTTCAAAAGGACAATCATTTTTCCTACGGCATGTTTGTTAGCAGGATTATATTTGTGTTCCTAGGAAATGTTGGTGGGACTAATATAAATAGAAAAAACTAATCTCATGCTATATGAGACAAGTTTTTCTCCTACACATCTTTCGATAATTGTGTCACTTTTTCTTTTTTTCTTTTTTTCAGGTTGTGAGACCACAAATTTGTCTCTATGACATCAGATAACTTATCTTCTTTAACATGAGATTAATAAAACTCAATATAAATACTATGTTTGGTAACTTAAAATAATCAACTTTCCAGAGTTGAAATATTTTCCAGAATTTGTTCTTTATAATAGAACTCATTACTCATTTCTCCAATAAATTTTAACATTGTTTTTAATTTTTTCATGTAACTAGTGATTACCTCTTCGAAATTTATAAAAATCTTTAACTGTGATTTGTGAGTACTATATATTTGTTATTATAAAAAGAATTAACTTTAAAGAAGAATATATATTTTAATTTCATCCCTCTTAGAAAAATTTATAGCTCCATCATTTCATCCAAAATAAATAAGTAAAATAAAATAAGTTTCGAAATTTGCTAATACACTTCAGATTCAAAATCAATCTCAAAGTTTCAAGAAGAGAAAAATCAGTCTCAAAGTTGTAACTACTTTCACAAGACAAATTTAGGGGCTGAATTAATCAGAAAATAAATAACACATTCATGTTACACCCGCAAAGCAAAAAATTAGACAGAATCAAAACACCAATGAATAAATAAATGAGAAATAATGGACCTAACCTTCAGTCTTCAGAATTAAAATGCAGCACAGATGCACCAACCTAGAAAATAAGATAAAGTAGAGATTTAATACGGGATTGTAAGACGAAAATGAATTTATTAAATAATTATTCAAACTATTACTTACTGAGTAAAGGATACAGAATCGAAACATGATAACTTTCTTCCTCTCCTCTCCTGGTGTGCCTTTCTTCTTCCAAATATGCTTAAAAGCTCTTTTCTTCTTTGCAATATCTCCGTTTGAGTTTTACGTACTTCTCCGTTTTTTTTTTATATTTTAGAACTCTATTTTTGCTTTTTGTTAATATTGATCGAGACTGAGTGGACTTGATGTTGATGGAACGGGTTGGAGGAAGGCTCAATGGAAACTTTTCATAATCTTTTTTTTTATTATTATTTTTGTAAACTGAAAAATAAAATTTTATTTATATATATATATAAAGGCAAGAAGCAACATAATTAAATTAATAAAAAGATGGACAAAATACCAAGTAAATTTTTTACACCAGTAGACACTAAAGTGGTTTTTTTTTTTTTTTTTTGGCAGGTGCCAATATATATATATATATATATAAAGGCAAGAAGCAACATAATTAAATTGATAAAAAGATGGACAAAATACCAAGTAAATTTTTTACACCAGTAGACACTAAAGTGGTGTTTTTTTTTTTTGCAGGTGCCAATATATCAATGTTGTATGATTATTTGCAAAAGGCACCCAAAAAAATCAACTAATAAAAAAAAATTAGAAAGAGAGCTGGTGCCATCAAAGTAGTTCCGCCTCTGAATAGCAATATGTGTGCTCTGAAGGCTCCCAACAGAAAATGCAAATGTCCACAAGGGGCACTGTCATGGAAGATGCAAAAAACATCCTTGTAAGACCGAGAATGGAAGAATGGATCAATGTTGGTGAGTTGATCTTTCAGAAGTACGCAAATCCATTCCAGCCAAACTCGACCTATATGTCTGCACTTCAATCAGCTAAATATATTTGGAGCTGTAACAACTCGTCGTCTTACATCATATAGCTCTAGCTGATCGGATGTAGGCATGGCCCATGCCACTTATTGGGGCTGGGCCAATCCATATAGAAACTTCCATTCATAAGAGAAAAATTCTAGATAATTTCTTTAATTAATCTATATTTCCAAAACTAACCAACTAACATGGGTCACCCGTAGTCTTTATAGTCTAAAAAGAGTGACCAATACCGGCAAAATGGTCGTACTACCAACATTTGGCTAAAGTTTTTCCAGGTCAAAAAGCATATTTTAAATGTAATATCAGTCAAATACGTCGGTCAAACTGACGAGAGCAGTCTCGTCAGAATGCTTGGCGAGACCAGGTGCCATGTCAACGTCCTATACAATCCCATCAATTGGGTTGAGCGTTCGTATACACTCCCGTCAATTTGGTTGACGCAACCAAAGCCGCCAACAAATGTGACGGGTCTACCAAAACAGAGACGAAGAAATCAAATTGTGCAATTAACAAGAGAATTGATTACTCCTACTTTGTAACACCAATGTTGAGATATTCTCTTACCAAACGGAGAAAGAGAGAGTGAAACTAACAAGGAATGAAGGAGGGATATGAGGGGCTTTTCATTGAAACAGAGTAAAGCATAATAAAATATGCTCTCGTCCAGCATTCTGACGGGACTGCTCTCGTTAGTTTGACCGACATATTTGACTGCTCTACTCCGGTATTACATTTGAAATATGTTTTGTCTTGGAGAAACTTTAGCCAAATGTTGGTAGTACCGTCGTTTTGCCGACCAATACCATAATAAAATAATTACTTCTAAAAGCAACATTAATAGTTATAGACTTATAGTAAAATAACATAAACTTTCTAAAAATGATATGACAATTAGAACCATTATTTTCCATACTAGTGACACATTATTCATGATGAGGGGAGGAAAATATTTTGGAAGGTGATAATTGAGATAAAGTGCACACGAGTTTATATAGTTGAGAGGGGGAAAATTATAGTAATTTTAAAAACCATATGAAACAAGAAAAATATATTTGAAAAAAATGTTAGTTTATCTTTTTGCTCGACTCATTTTTAATTTGTTCAAATAATGCCGAAACAGTAATTAATTGACTAAAAAGAAAGAAGAACAAACACAAAAGGGTGAAAAAATACTATTTCTCTTTTATGAATTTTATTAACTAAAAATAACCTAATAATAATAGCGTTCTCCATACTCTGCGTAGGTAGAACAAAATAAAATGAAAATAAACCTAAAAGTTCAAAAAGTCATAAACTATGGAATAAATCTAAAAAACCCAAAATGGCAGACACAAATATCAAATAGAATCAAAAGGAATCATGCACAATCAACACGCACTCAGACATAATCAAAGAAATAACAAAAAGATAAATAATTAACAATTATTGTAAAGCCCAAAATTACGAAAAGCCCAAAACTTTTGATCCCATGGCGAAGCGACGAGTCTTGCTCAAAAGCCCATTTCGAGTTGCCTATCCAAATTTAAGCTTAATCCAAGTCAGTCAGCTCAGGTGCATCATCCTCCCCCGCTAGGAAAAGTTTTTCCCTTGAAACTGCTTCGTCTTCATTGATATTAACTTCTTCAAGTGATAATCCAAGTGGCAACTCTTCTAGTACAATATAACCAAATTCCCTAATTAAGGGTAGGACTTGTGAATGCAATTCTTTGATATGCTTTGTATGTTCATTTGCATTTGAACCAAACTTCTTGGGGACTAGAAATAATGCGAGTACAAAACCCATAGATGGACTATTGCATGTAGTTTGGTTCAGTGATTGCATCTGAGATCCATCATAGGAAAATTTTGCATGGGGTAAAATCAAATCTCATTGCCCCTGATGATCTCCAATTAAATTTC